ACGATAATCTGGTCGGCTATTTAATAAACTGTCCACACGGAAAGTCTCGACCGTGTTATTTTCCTGTGAGACTTTGCACGTCAAAACGAAATAAGCCCCCCCAACCCCCCCCAGCTTTTGGGATCCCAATTTGGATTGGTTATTGGAGTATGTATAGTGGGTACCTCGGTACAAACCTACGACCTAGCCGCATATGCTGCGCACAAGGTCAAGAGACGGTTAATATGGTTGAAGCGTGTCGTAGACTTCTCCTTACCTGGATTGTAAGGTTTCCGGTGTGTTGAGTTTGGGTTTGGACTTAGAATACGCTCCTCTTACCCACGGTTACAAATTCCCCAATACCATTCCAGGTCAAGAATGTCCCACTATTACTTTATAGGCATCTAATAAAAATTCATGCAACAAGTCAAATCCACCTGTGAGGTGGGATGGATTATCTCAGCAAAGGAGAAGTGCTCACTATCACAGATTTTTTCAGATTTGTGAACAATATTTGAGAGAAATGGTTATTTTGTGTATATAGAATTTTTTTAGATCTTTGAGTTCATCTCATGAAAAATGGGAGCAAAAACAAAAGTGTTGCATTTATATTTTTGTTCAGTGTATTTTCTTCACTCCGCTGGGAAACTGTTCTCATTTCAAGAAGCATCAGATCACTGCATGCACCGCATCGTCCAATCAGTGAGCGATACACAGTAAGGGGGCGGGGCGAGTGTCTGAGGATTTAATCGAAGGATGGTCTGGTGGTTCCTCGATTATAGCTCCTCCATTATCGCTCCTCGCTCCTCGGGCAAAAATAAGGCCATTGGGACGCTACTCAAGATGGCACGGTGTACATGTATAAGTGCTCACAGTTTCCGGTGAGACCAAGACCGAGACCGAGGAGCGAGGAAATGAAAAATAAGAGAAGTGAGAAAGGGCCATATACTCGACATTGAGAAACGGCCGTCTCCAGTACAGGTCAGCACTGAGTGTTAGTGATGCCTGCTAATGTAAACAAAGACCATATTACGTCCAAAACATGTTGCGCATTGTTTCTGATAGCAATGTTTCTGATAGGGCCGGGGGTCCACATTTCCGATATTACGTCATATGACACGCAAATCTGGATCAGCTCCGCTGTACCGCCGTTTTTAGAGATGTGGGTGCGGAGGAAAAGAGAGAGGGTTTTGTTTTCTGACACTTTGTGAATTCCCTGGCACACCAGGGACACGTATAAAATACATCAAAACGTGCATTTTGCATGATAGGACACCTTTAAAATAATACTCCCCTTTACTCAACCATATGCACATTTCCAAAAATAATAATCTGTGATTTAGTATGCATTGATTTGCTTTTCGGAGAGATCTCCTAACAGGATGTATGAACAGGGGAAACAATTACAGAAACTGTTAATATTTCAAATGGGAACCTAAGTAAGGCAAGGGAATATATTGTAGATATAGTGGATTTAACATTTATGTCAAGCCTGGATTTCATTATAAAGTTGAATATAGAAACAAAATTCTGTATATTGCTTTTATCTGTCAAAATGTTTAACATGTTCTGCAGCCCTTTTTTGGCTCTCGATTTAAACTGCAATAACAATGTATTACCCCTAGATGGCCAAGTACTCCAACTTTTCATTCAGCCTTTTGTCTTCAATTGTCCTAACATGAATCTAATCTTCCTAAGAGCTACATTTGTGTAATGTGGCATGAAAACAAAGACTTGCACGCTTAACTGTTATACAAGACCACAGACTTAACTCTGTCAGTTGAGCTGTAAGGAAAGGCCGTTAAGTCTGGAGGGAGGGAGAGAAAAGGAGAAGAAAGTGAGCCATTGTTTTTCACAGCGACCCACTTATGAGCTTCATTCCTTGGAAGCCACAGTTGTCCCCGTGATACTACTGTACAAATCCTTCCATTTGCATGTTTGTTGTACTGTGCATTTACTTTTTAATGATATTATTTATCTCCTTCCATGTTTTCATCAGCTGCCATAAATCCATTTGATCCATCTGCATGTTTCAAAGTCCTTTTCAGGTAATTGTTATTCTGTTTATCACCCATCATTTGTGCTGTAGCAACAAAGTGCTTCTGTGTACCCACTCACATTCTTTAGTGTTACCATCTCAGTTTTACTATTGGACCTCGTTTAGCTCCCAACACCATATGAAAGGTGTTTCCCCACTATGATGCGTGCTCGAGATTCTGCATCAAGGGATCATTTTTGCACTGAGGAGTAAATGTGTGTGTGTGTTTGTGTGAATTTGAGGGATGGGAGGGGGGTAGGTTGCACTCTGGATGACTGAACAGCTATGATCGAGGCAGCCTGAGCCAATCAGCCGGCGAGCACCGTGCCTTCTGATTCTTAATTGGCTCCCAGTGAGCACAGCTGATACACAGAGAGCCAGCTGGTTTTATTAGAGAATGAGCCGGGGCCAGAGTGAGGAAAGCAAGAGAAGAGAGGCAGATATATAGAGGCAATATTCAGAGTGCGAGTATCAGCCAGTAATTACCTTCCAGCTTCTGAGCCAATCACAGAGAGATACAGAGCGAGGAAGCCTATTTACATTCTCAGTCTATTCCCCGGGCTGAGAGGGAGACAGTGTGCTGATTGATTTAGAGTCAGAGAGAAGGGACCGGCATAGCTCATCCTTTCTCATATTTGCAGAGTCGTGCTGGGAGAAATCAGATGGACAAGATGAACCAAAGCTCAGCTGAGGCAGGGTCTGGAACCATAGCACTGCGTTACCTCAGGTAGGCACCTGTTATTTTCTCTCATGATGTTTTGCTCTTTTTCTTTGTTATTTCTCTGTCTGCTCTTCAATTCTGTTTATTTCACACTCACACCAATTCACAGGATGGCTCTTAAATCAATGCACAGTGTGTGAAAACAATTCCAGATGGAGAGTGGCGTGCAGAATTACACAGGAGAAACATTTAGATCCCCTTGTGAGACCCAGGAGAAAAGTCTTTACATGAGACTTAGAGTGTGTATTCATATGGCAGTCTGTTTGAATCAGAGAAAGCCTTTAAAAGGAAAACAGAGTAGAGGAAGTAATAAGAGATATCAATTATTTAAGTTGACCTGCTTTGCAAATGCCACATCAATACCAGTGATGATAGTGATGATGATGGTAATGATAATGATGCTGCTGGTGGTGGTGCCAGCAGGGATACCTTGGTACGCACTGAGAAACTCCTGCTCTGCTTAGGGAGTGTTGAATTTCCTTCATTGCTCTTTTCCACTCCACTGAAGCCTCACATTAAATTATAAATATAAGCTGTTATTGAATTAGGAAGGTTATGTTCGATGTGGCATTATCATACATATTACCAGCTATGCCACTCATTTTATGATTCAGAATTGTTTTAGTGGATGAGAGGTGTAATCAGTTATGCAATCGAGGTTATTGTGGTTCGCCCCTGGCTGCCTCTGTAGCACCACTTTTACTCACAGAGTGACGGAGAGGAGGAGAATTTCAGGAACAAAGCGCTACTTCTAATGTGCTTGGCATCTATGTGCTGGTATTTCCTGACATTTGTATAGTAATATGCAGGTTGTTTACCCACCTTTTACACATGCACATACACACACTCACGCACAAACTGCACATGCATATATTGATTTATCAATTTGGATCCACTTAAAAATTCAAATATCAGTCTGTGATCATAAAATGCACAATTAGTACACAGCCCTTTGTCATCATGATCCAACTTGTCACACAAGAAATGCATTTAATGAAAGGCTGTGGCTCAGTGGCTGGTGTGCTGGACTTCGAATCAGAGGGTAGCAAGTTTGAGTCCCACTGCAGTCAGCATGTCGTTGTGTCCCTGGGCAAGACACTTCACCCCAAATTGCTCCTGTGGGGATTGTCCACAGTACTGAATGTATGTAAGTTGCTTTTGATAAAAGCGTCTAACAAATGACATGTAATGTAATGTAATGTAATGACTAGGCCATCCTCCCTAAAAAAAAAAGCATTATAAAAAAGGTTCACCTGAAAAAACAAACAAAGCCAATGAGTCTTTTGTGTCAGCCATTAATAACAGGGTCTGTATGGATATGCTAGACTGAAGGCAACGTCGGCAATTTTGTTGCATTATTAATGCAATGTAATTGCCAGATTTTGACAAGAGAACAATGCCTGGAATAAAATTCTGGCCCTGCAGCATTATTTTATTTTTTTAGATTTACAATAATGTTGAAGTGAGATGCTGAATCAATGACTTTTTCACTTATTTTGTCCATCTTTAATCTGTGTTTATTTCTGTGCAGCACTTGGGGTATAAAGCCATGTAAAGACACACTAGAAGCACACACATTCACAAACACCCAAGCTGCGAAAGACATTGTAACAACCTTTAAATACAAAAAAAGTTGTTTAATTATCTTATTATGACAAGATTGGAGTGTGAAAGCCTGAGTGATGAGTGGCCTTGCCGTTTTTGTCTTTGGTCAATCTATTATGAATTCGATGTTTTGTCACTCAGTAGTCATTCTTTCCTCAGTGCATTTCAAAGGATGATTGCACAATATAGCCACCTTAATCAATGCATGCACCTACACATGACATCTATTCTTGGAGCTTATTTTTTCCCCTTCTATAATGTATGTAATTATGCTCTTTGCACTCTCCTCCAAGTGTTTACGTCTGCGGAAGATTAACTATTACCCAAGAGGCTCTGTCTCAGTTTTCAAATCTCTCAGATCTCTCCAGCTTGATTTTTGCATGCTGGCAGTCAATTAAGACAGTCAATTAAAAACCCCATATTCTACCTCTAGTGGAATCTAATTATACAGCTTCTATTACCATCAGGTTATATGTCTAGGTGTGCAGACATGTAAACATGTATGCACTTATAGGTCCTCCATGCGTCTCATTTATTCACTTTTAAACCAACCTGCTGTTTATAATCAATTATAAAATGATGTAGATATTTGCCATGGTTATTCCCAAAAAATACACGATACCCAGTTGTTATAGCAACCTGTTTAAGCAAAAAGCTTGGAGCTGATTTTGAAACCAACTAAAATTAGATGAAGATAATTACTTTCTAGATCTCTAAGCTCTATGTAAAAAAAAATGCATCCATTAGCCCAGATTCATCTTTGTGATAAAGCTGCTTAATGATCTGATATAATTATATAGAAGTTTTAAGAAATGGATTTGCCAGTGGCAAGCGGAAACTCTCTAAGTTAATTAATGAAAATCCCTATATGAGACAACCCTGCTGTTTTAGTGCGATAATGGTTGTGTAACTAGAAAGATACAAAATAATTCCAAGCACAGCTGACTTCCCACACTGCTGTTTCTCCACAGTACCAGATTAGCCAAACTGACATGGATATGTTTCACAAATTCTTAAAAATGTAAAGTTAATCCACACCTGGCACAGTCCCTGGCTTCAGCTGTGAAAGTTCATATGGCTTGTAGAGAGCAAATGTTTGGCTTTTGTGCATGATTTTTGGTCAGAATAAAATGGTTTCACCTCTATTTCTAAAAGGTCAGTGCTCTGACCACATCACTAGTTGTTCTGTTGTGTCTAGGCTACCCTTAACAGGCAAATAACAGCAAATAATGTTCTCCAATCAGCACGCCAGAGAACTTAAGAAATGTATTACAAAAGGATTTCATTTTTTTAATCAGCCTTGAGATTATTAACTGTACTCAATTTTCTTGCTGCACTTCCTAAAAAGAAAACGGCATCAAAACATGTCCCATTTGTGTAAATTCTAGGGGTCCTATTGAGGCTTTATGGGGTTTTCCTTTCCTGTAGTGTGTTATATAGGTTTTCGTGCATGTAAATGATCTGCGAAGGCTAAAATACCAAAGTTCCCTAGAGAGGGAGGTTCTCTCCCACATGCTCCCCCCCCCCTCCCTGACTGAAACGCCTTGAATAGACTCCTTTGTTTACTTCCTGAACATAATGACATCAATATGTAACACTCGCGCTCCTATTGGTTAGCGCTCCAAAACATTTTGCCGTGGCTAAGGGGTGTGTTATGTCCAAGCAGTTGACCTATCACAACAGAGCCGGCCAGCTAACCAATCAGAGGAGACTGGGCTCTGGATTCAGACAGAGGGTGAAAAGAGGTGCTGCAGCACAGGCATCATGAGAAAAATAAAGAGCTTTTTGAACATTAAAGCAGGTAAGCTTGTCACAGTAGAGGAGCAAAAGGCAAATATGAACCTGAAAATGAACACAGGGAACAGGACCCCTTTACCGCAAAACGTTGAGTTTAATGCAACACTTCTCTCTTTCTGTATCTTTCTGATGTTGTTTCCCCCTCCTACACTTTCTACTCTGACAGTAATGAATGTTCTGATTCTTTGGACCTTTTCACTCAGCATACCTGAGGCCTGGGGCCAGTCGCTCAGAGAATTGTTAGAACAGCCTGAGATATTTTTGTCCTTTCTCTATTAACTGGTCTGCCTATACCTGTCTATCTGAGCTGCTGCCAGTGAGTAAAGCTGTCTAACTTTACCTGCTTTGGCTTCATTTCTCCTACCATGGAAATGATGCATTTCAGGCTTATTGTTATTCATTTGGCTTACTTCCCTCTTTTCAGCTTCCTGCCACAAATTCCCATGGTAGTTCCAATTGCCTGTGTGACAGCTCTGGCATTTATATATAGACCAAATGAAATGATTGAGGTTGAGAGATGGAGAAGCATAGAGGGAGATGGGAGGGGAGAGATTATATCAGTGCACTGTTTAGACATAATTGTCTTCTACTGTTAAAGTCAGATTAGCTAGGCCTATAAAAGTTTTACATCTACGCCTCACATGTTTAAAAGAAGAGCATGTGGATGAGAGTGAGGGAAAAGCAAAATGAGGACTGATGGTATACAATTAGTAATTAGATCTACAGGAAGTATTCTATTTCCCATCTTTGCTTCATAAGTATAGCAATACATATCTGTAAAGTGTAAACTAACAACATTAAAGTAGGAAAGAGAGTATAAATCCATTAATTTAAGGTAATTTAGTTACTTTGTGTATTACCTAGCTTGTGGTAAGAGTTAGAACATTGCTTTTTTATGGTTTACAGCTAACACAATTATCTGGTGATAACAAGAGTGTTAGCCATGTTAGCAGCTGTTTTAGGCTAAATGCTAAAGTTAGCACTGCATGTTCCCACCAACAACTGACAATAACAAATTGCCGGAATTAACTTTATCCTTAGAGCCACACTGTAGTCTTTACACATGTTACTGTTTGAAGTGTACTTTGGCACAGCTTTGAGCTTAATACTAACATTAGCATGCAATAACATCAACAGCAATAGGCTTCAGCTGAGGATGATATGAATTAGTTTTGAAGGAACATTTTAATTGTATTCTTATATCCATCAAATGTCTACATTTCCATCTAAAGGTGAGATATTTTAATCAATATGTGATCATGGTCTTGCTTAAGTTAAAGCCATGGAGTCACTATTAATTAGCAGGATTGGAATTGATGACACATTTAGGAAAATGTTATGGCAATCTACTTAATATTTAGCAATTAAAGAATTCCACGGAACTTGTGGGGATATTAGGGGACATTGATTCACAAAAATGACACATTCATAAAAAATATAATCTTGCTCTAGCGCAAGTTGGTTGGAAAAGAGAAGAGAACAGAGTGAAAAGGTCACTTGAAACAGTTTGGTCAGCTTATCTTTGTTCTGGGTTGGCTCTGGCAAACTGCAAGAAGGTGAGCAAAAATAGAGAGAGAGAGTGTGAAATTGGCACTATTTAATAG